GCCCTAGATCACCCTTTCAGCCATTGAGCGTTGGCTCTTCCTCCTGAGAGTTCTTCCCTCGAGGGTTCAGCTTCCTTCCCCTTGCTATAGCTTCTTGGATAGTCTCTGTCATTCAATCCAGCATCTGATTACCTAATTGGTGGAGTTGTTGCACGAACTCCATAATGCACTCCATGTCAACAGCCTCATTGATTGGTCTTTTCTCCTTGTGTTTCTCCGCTTCTTGTTGTTAGCATACTCCAAGTTACCGAACATTTTACGATGTTGAATCCGAATGTTTGTCACATTTTAAAAATAGATTATAAAATAAGAAAGAGAGACAGAGCAAAGGTAGAGAGCACAGTAATGAACAGTAAAAAAGATTCTTGATTATCCCTTATTGAAAAAATGATCCCCTTATATATAGTAGAGTGGGGTACAAAGTATGTAGTTACATGTTTGGCTTTACGTTAATGGGGGCATTGCAGGATATTTTAGGTATTTTACATAAGTCTATGTTTTGGTTACCCTATTACTTGGTCGGTTGAGCTTAACACCCTTGGTTTGGCAAGGCTCATGCGTCCGACTATATGCTGAGTTGGGGTTTCCGGTTAGTTTTGATGGTCTTCGGTTCGGTTGGACTTGAATTGGTAGGTTTGATTCAGCCCTGCTCTAGTTTGGCCATTTACTATCAACTCCTAGATAGTAAATGAGACTAGACTATCAAGCAAAGGATGAATCACCGTAATGCGTTGGGTAGCTCACCCCTTAACAAAGAGTCCTTCGGCATGTTCCTGGAGTATATCGTGGTAAACCCCCGGCCTCCTAATGAACAGTGTCGGATGCCCTTATAAGATGGTTGGCAATGTTGGGGTGAGACTTATGTTGATGCCTTCTCTCAGCTTGGATATATCTTAGTCCTTGGTTCAGACGGCCTGCATCCGGTAGACTTCAGGTTCCGATCTAAGGAATCTGCATTTGGTCAATTAAGTAATTTGATCTAACGATGATGATGCATTTGGCCTTGCCTTCGCGGGCCCCCTGCCTGTGCTTTTCAAACTCTTAGTCTGTCGGATTTCTTTGAGATTTATGCTAACGCATTTCTGATGTACACATATAATTCACGATAAGTATGCAGTTATAATAATGACCTGCACAGTGAAAGACAATCTGACAAGATTAAATTCGAGAGAAAAATAAATAAATTTATGACTTTGATATTATGGATGCAATGGCCTAGTAGGTATCTGACAAACATTAATAAGTGCAATATTGAGTTGACTAAACTATATCTACGATTATTATAGTTGATGAACTAGGTAGCGATATAACAAAATTTAATATGTCAAAGACTATAAATATAATATAATATTTCTAAGATGATGAATTCTGAGAATATGAATGATGATAAAGGTTGAGTGATGGATATATCATTGTTTAGTATAGTGAATTAAAAGAGGTATTAGTAATAAATTTATTTATTTTTGGCAACAGTTGCATTTTTTACTTATAGTTATTTCTGCTTTACTTCTTAAAGCATTAAAACATATTTATTCATTATTGTTGTCATACTAGGCCATATGCGATTATAAAAAAAAAGTAATCCTAATAATATTAAACTGGCATACATGTTAATTTTTTCTTTTAAGTTCTAAACATGTTTTAACATTATTTATCTTATTAAGAATGAAGCTCATCAGATATTATATGGGCTACTGATGCAAAGCATAAGCTTGTGAATTGATTGGCCTATTAACGTAACCTGGAAAGCGGCAAAGTGCAATGAGGAGAAAAATAAAAGTTTGCACAATTCATGCAATGGCGAAGCGTTTGGTTATCAACTGCTTGACAATGGATGGACAACGGCAAAAGGATTGATTGCCGTTGGGTTGATCACAGAAAGATTACACAAAGGGAGAGGGTTTTTTTTGTTCAAAATGGTTCAGTTCGTTGCAATTTTAACCTTCAACGCACCCACATTTAGGGGGATCAAGTGATCCAACAGTTGCTAAAGATTGGTTGCTGAAAATCTGAAAAAAATTTAAATATTATGGTCGGCCCAAATAATAGGAAAGTAGTATTGGAACTTCCATGTTGGAAGAGGAAGTAGAGTGATGGTGGCAGGAACGACACCAAAAAAAAGTTTGGATTGACACTAGTCACAATAATTTAATGAGATCATTTTGTCACAGATATGTAGGACTGGTTTGTGCCATCATTAGTTAGGTTAGCATTATAGAATAATAAGACAGGAGTCCTTGAAAGAAGTGCATTTTTAATTAAACAAAAACAAAGGATGTTGTAAAAGCTACATAAAAGGAGTAGTGTGGTTGAGATCATCCTCCGCCACACTCAAAAAAGTGGTGTCACAAGTGTGTGCATCCCAAACAAAAGGTCTATCCAAAACTAGCCTCAAACAAAAATAGGTTACTTTGTTACATTCCCTATATGCAAAAAAGAACAGTTATTTAAATTTGTATAGAGAAGTAATGGCAAGTTCCCTGCCGAGTTGAGGTTGCCATTGCTTAGCTTCCATGTCTTTCCGGAGCTCGTTGATGATCATCTCATTATCTCCTTCAATAATAATCTCCTTGGTTTCAAACATCTAAGGTTCAAGCAACGTACAAAGTAGGAGGGCCACTTCAAGCTCTATTTTTTAGCTATCCCAATGTAATTGATTATGCCTCGTCACGAGCACGATCTTCTCCCATTCATCCCAAATCACCACGCCAGGGCCACAAGGCCATTAGAAAGAAGAGACCCATCAATGTTAGCCTTTAACCAACCCGAAATTAAGACAGGAGTTCAAGGCAGTCATGTAGTATGAGATAAAGTATACTTCAATTTTGAGGTGTCACTCACAATGTCAGTATTTAGGAAAAATGTCATAGATTTCTATGAGGCTTCAAAGATAAGCTGAGAATAGCTTTCACATATCCCAAGGGTTAGTTTAAAGAACATAAAGAATAATAAGTTGAATTAATCAAGGCAGATTTGGGAATAACAAATAGGCAAAAGAAAAAGTTATGAAAAATGAGATATCTTTAAAAAAACTAAATTAAAATTTGAATACAAGCAGAAGGTTCAATTGGAGAAGCAAGTTTAGGATAAATGTGAGATAAAACATTTTGGGTAGTGTTTAGTTGGTTCTAAGATGTGTCTCAAATGTGGCAAAACTGGACACCACAGAATGAATTGTCCGTTAGAAAGGAAAAAAGGAATATTAGGCCACAATAATTTCAAGAGTAAGTCAGCAAGAAAAATATTGGGAAGGAAGCAAAGATAAGGACTTAGTTCTATGGAGCAATCAATCAAAGTGAAAGCAAATACTTCAAAGCACATAAATGATCTAATAAAAACTAGATTTTTTTATATCACACCTCAAGAAGCCAAAGAATCTGAAGTAGTTACTATTATATTTTTTATTTCTGATCAATTTAATACAATTTTGTTCGATGCTAGCACTTTCGTATCCTTTTATTTTTGAATAATTCTTGCAGTTTATCAATTAATGTTGGGCGTTCTTACCTTGACTATGTTGAATTATGTCTTCTGGAGATAGCCTTTGTGCAAGTAGAAAATGCTTTATGAATGTTAGTATTTAGGAAAATAAAAGCTTCTGGCAGAGATGATTATAATATTTATCAAAACATTTGATATTATTTTGTAATTTGACTATTCAGTTAAGCATTTTACTACAACTTATTTTTGAAAGAGAAGAGTCGAGTTGTATTTGTTTGATGAGAAATAATATTTTTTCCTTGTGAAAGAATGCAATGTCTTTACCAACCAGAGAAGTTCAAAATGTTAGCAGTGAATATCAGAAAGTAGTTCAACAAATTTCACAAAAAAAAAGGAAGGAAATCTCTATTATTGAAGGCGCCATTAAGAATAAACTACGATTGTGGGTGTTTCGTGAATATAGATTTGAGACAAAAAACTTTGCAGGGAACTCAGCATTTAGGCTACATCATCCATTGATGGAGCACCAAAATATAAAAAGATTTGAAATTATTTTTTTCTTAGATAAGAAAGAAATAAAAAAAATCGTAATCAAATATGTTTCTAAATATCAAGTTTGTTAGATTGTAAAAGCTAGGCATTAGAGAGATCGAGTTGATTGTTACAGTCCTTACCTATACTTAAAGTGAAAATGAAAAGAAATTACAATAAATTTTGTTATGCGATGTCCCGCCTCCGAATAAAGTTATTGTAGTTGACAGATTGACCAAGTCAACTCATTTCTAGTCAATCAAACAGACATATTAAGCTGACAAATTGACTAGATTATATTTTTAGTAAATTGTTAAACTGTGTGGTGTTCCAAAGATGATTATTTTAGAGAGAGAAGATTTAATTCAAGATTGAAGAAACTCATAAGGGTTTTAGCAAACAATTGCATATTAGTACAACATTTCATCCACAAACAAGTTAAGAAATTAAGAGATTGGTTGAGGGTATATTTTTTTAATTTTGAAGACAACAAAAGATACTACATTCTAATGATTAAATAAATTTGCATTCAATAAAAGCTATCAATCTATCATAAAAATAGCTCCCTATGAATCATTGTATAAGAGAATATGCAAAAATCAGTTAAATTGGATCAAAAGAGGAGAAAGACAATTGTTGGGTCAAGAGTTAGGTGACAGTGTATAGAGAAAAACATATTAATTAAAAAACAGATATAAAAGCTGCCCGTGAGCGTCAACAAAAATATTATGACCAGTGACACAAAATGGTGAAGTCAAAAATTCATAAATTAGTATTTTGAAGTCAAGACTATGAACAGTAACGCTAGATTTATTCAGGAAAATAAGTTGAACCAGAAGTATATGATTATCAAGAAAATTGGCAATACAGCTTACAGTCAAACACTTATATCCATAATATTTTTCATATATAACTGCATCAAGAAGAACTTAAGAAAGAAAACGAGTAACAATAAAATGAGTAAGAAAAAGTATAGAAAATTGCAGCACAATATAACTATCCAACCACTAAGTATGCACAACACTTGCCTTGAAAATAGTGTTCCTTCATGTTCATAGACAATATCGGTTATGATCCAATTATCAGGATATGGTTTACCACTAGGAGCATAATAGTATCCAACCTGTATCATAGAAGTTAATGACTTAGTAAGATAATACAAATTGTACAATTGGCAGCTGTTTTCGCAGTCATAACTGTATAACTGTAATAAGAAATTTAGTATGTCAACGCTTATCTATGATAAACATGCTAAAATAAGTCGAGAGCGACATTGCAACAACAATTTGGAGAAAAGTATTTTATGGCCAATCTTTAAGATCAAAAAGGGGCCAAATTATAGGAAGCAGCATCTTTATAAATTGAATTTGGGGGAGCAAGAAAAAAAAATTAATGAGAGCTCAAACAACCCCAATGGGGCCGTTTCATATAAAACTCCCCCCTTGGAAGCATTTACATTAAACGCCCCCCATGGTGTCCTATTCATCAAAATATTATAAAAAATAATTTCTTGATATATAATATATAATATTCTAGTTAATTTAAATTTTAATATATATTAACTATTATATAAATAAATTATAAATTTAGATTTGGTAAAACACCCCCCATGGGGCCATTTTCATTAAAATAGTATAAAATAATTCTTAATATATAATATATAATGTTCATATCAATTTAAATATTAATATATATTACCAATTAGTTAAATAAATTATAAATTTTTATTACAATAATTAACATTTGAAAAATATTAAATTAATCAAAAAATATATCTGAAAAAAATAAATTAACTAACAGTATATCAAATTCATAATATTTTTTTTCACATTAAAATATCCTCAAAACATCATGCTTAGAAAATAATACTCTTCTACAATGGGGAAATGATGCCTGACCTAGGTGATCAATACGGCGATTGCAATTGATGTTCTTCAAATTCTACTTCAACATCCTCACCTTCAGTTATTTCATTCGTAGTCTATTGTGGCATCCCGTTATTTTATTCGTTCATGGGAATTCGTGATGTATAAATTGGAGATGTATCGAAATTAGACTTACACCAGATATAGGCGTAGAAACGGGCATGCTCCAAATCTCCGCTAATAGAAATTATCCATTGTAAGTCATATGACAGACTCTCATGTGTCGATGGTCTTGTTAGCTTGAGGGTCCCCCAAATATTGATTGGCAACATAAGCAGATAATTCTGGATATAGTCGATCGTGCGACTCATTTAAGGGAGATCAACATGTTCTAGAACCTTAAGTGTCACAACCCAGTCAGGGGCTTAAAATTAACCAAGAGGGGAACGGACGGTTGGACTGTGAAAAAATAAATTTTATATTATCCTATTTCTATAAAAAAAAAAATTATTATCCACAAATTTAAAAGAAAAGGCCACTATAAAATTTAATTACACTAACAAAAATAAAAAAGCTAACTTTTAGGTTATTGTTCCCTTCTCTTATAAACCTTAACTCCTCTTCTATTTATCTTATTTAAAAGTTTAAAACTTAAAAAAAAAATTAACATAACATAATGAATTATTTAAAGATAACTCATGAGCAAACATACTTCTAAACTACAGTAATCAAAGAAAGATAAAATAATATACATGTCAGTATTTCTTATTTCTATAAAAAATCTTGGAACATGCTAATGCATATATCAATAATCTTTAGTCAATGAAAATACTCTAATTTTTTATATACATTTTATTTAGCTTTACTTTTACTTTTTACTTTTTACATACACATATGTCTATTTGAGGATCACCGTGAAAACAACCTAACAAACATTTGATATTATCAAGTCGGCACAGCAGTTAGCTATAAACTTCACAATTTTCTAGAGTAGAAAGGCCCATATCTGCTCTTGATCGATATTATCTCGTCGGCATAGCGGTTATCAATCTAAACATCACAATTTTTTAGGGCAGTAAGCTCTATCAACTCACCCTTTGTCGATATTATCTCATCGGCATAGCGGTTAGTGATTTAACCATCACAATTATTTGAGGTGATAGAAAAACCTTTACGCGCACGGGTACAGAAAGATTTTGAATGAGGGTCTGATGTAGAAAAAATTTCCAGAATGTTTGATGTAGGAAAATTCTCAGGAGGAGGGTCTGCTACAGACAGCCTGATATAGGAAAAACCCTCTGAAGGAAGGTCTATTGCAAGAAAAGGCTCTGAAGGAGGGCCTACTACAGAAAGAATTCTGTTGGACCTACAGTAGGGAAAACTCCGAAGGAGGGTCTGATACGGAAAAAAACTTCAGAGGGTCTGCTACAGGAAAAGCTCTGAAAAAGGATTTGATGCATGAAAAACTCCGGAGGAGGGTCTGATGCACGAAAAAACTCCGTAGAAAGGTCTACTGCAAGAAAATGTCCGGAGAAAGCCTATTGCGGTAAGGGTTGTAATCGAGTCAAGTCGAGCCGAGTATATCATAGTTCGAACTTGGCTTGGTACAATTATAAGTTGTTCATATTCGATGTGAGCTTATGTTGAGCTTTCATATATTGTTCAAGTCTACCTTGTTTAAATTTTTTAATATTTGAACTTGATTTGTACTTGATTTGTTTATGGCAAGTTAACGAGTTTTTAAACAAGCTAAAAATTTAAATGAGTATTTAGATTTTAATACAAAAAATCAAATAAATAATTTTACAAAGTTGATCGATGCTATTGATTATAAACTCTAAACCCTACAATATTTTAAATCTCATTTCTCCTCCATTTAGCCATAAATCCCTCACTTTAGAGATTTTTGGTAGAATGATTTGTGTAGCATTTAAGCAATAACTTAAATCCTATCAAACAACAAAAAATGAAAACTTTTAAACATATAAAAACTTTATATCGAATATTTATATATCATATATGATACGAGTTATCAACAAACAAATAATATTCTAGTTAATTAAATTTTATTTAAATAATATATCATATATAACATATGATATTATCGAGCTTAATATCGAGTATTTAACAAGTTAATTATTGAACAACAAACAAGTTTAGTCATGAACATAAATAAAAAAATTGGATTATGTTCATGTTTAGTTCATTTAAACTTCGAGCTTTTAAAAATTGTTCAAGCTTGTTTATTTACTAATTTAAATGAACATGATCAAGTCTTAATTGAACCAAGATCGAGTTGTTCATCGAGTGCATCGATTCATTTACAGCCCTAGCTTCAGGAAAAAGTTATGGAGGAAGTCTGCTGTAGGAAAAAATTTTGAAGAATGTCGGATGCAGGATAAAGCTCCGGATAAGGACCTATTGCAAAAAAAGCTTCGGACAAGGGTCTACAGTGAGGAAGGCCTGCAACAAGATACCTCTAGCTACAAAGTGAGTTCCCATAGAAAAGAAAAAAAAAAGAGAACCTCCATAGAGTATTTCAGTAGCAGAGAAGAAACCGACAGAGAAGGAATGTAGGCTGGCTGTTGGAATTCCATTCAAGGATACATCCAATCTCGCCTCTGTAATAACCTTCTTCAAGTTGTTTTGAAAACAAACCAAAAATGAACTCATCTGTAACAAGCTCCCATTTATTTCCACAATCCATGCATGTGAAATGGCGGAGGACGCCACAGAGGTGGCTGCCATAAATTGCAGCCTGCAGGAAGGTGTTCGCAGGTCAGCAGGGAAGTTTTTCAGCAGGCAAAGATGATTTCTGGTTGTTAGAGACATCCAGGGAGAGATCCGACAATCCTGGGAGGTCCAGTCGACAGAAGTAGGTCCGACCGGTTGGTATGCAGAGAAGAGGTCCAGCTGCCTAAAATCTGCAGAGGTAGTTTTGGCGACAAGAGATATTGCGGGAGGAAGTGTCGGCGGCGGGAAAGATTGCAGGTAGGTGCCTATCAAAGTCCTAGTTTGCTAGTTAAGGCAAGTCTTTGTATTAGAAATGTTTATTAACAGAAGAAATTAGGACTTAATAGCTCAGAACTATAAACCGAGTCTCACTACAAAAATGACCAATTAAGAGTCTATTTACAGGTGATGATTTTCCTCTTGTGAAAGCTATTTGAATACTTGCATTGACTGAAAGTAAGCAAAACAAGACTAATAAGCATGCAATTAAATTCTTAGTCGAAAAACTCATGACTAGATCTACAAACAAACAAAATAAGATTTGATAGCATGCTCTAAGAGATATGCAAGCAGGTAGAATGAGCATTGAACGCAAAAGCCCAAAATGAAAAGTAATGTGAGCATTACAATAACCGTGAATTCATCAATAAAATCACACATAATTAAATATGCACAAATTTCAACACATTTAAGTGCATTAAAAAGCATGCGAGTCTTTTAAAATATGGTCAACTTCTGAAAATATTCTCACAAATATTTTAATTAGAATGCCACAGCTCAAAATATTGAAATCTTAACTCCAAGGTGACCTACACATTCTACAATAGAAAGTAAAATCTCGTGCATGTTCTTTGCAACATGCGAAATCCTTAAAAAGAAAACAATTACATATATTTTGATACATGATACTACCTAACACAAAATGAAGAAAGTTCTCAAAGCAATGAATGGATTAAAAACTATGTTTCTCAATGAACCATGCAACTATTCTAGAAAGATATGCAACCACACTGAAAAGTTATACAAAGCTCACTCGTTTGAACAAATTCATCATGTTGCATGATGTGTTCAAACGGGTCACCCTGCCTCCATGACAGGGACACAAGTTCCATTTTTTACATCAAATTCTCCAGATCTCAACAATAGGTGTTGATAAATTTAAGGGGCATTTACATACATACCACACAATTGTTTTATTTGCATATCGAACACCTGAACATTCATATAAACATGCATACCACTCAAATTTTAACATCACATCAAATATACCAATAACACTATCTTTTTAAAAGTGAAATACACTTTTTTTTTATATACATAGGTTTATAACACCAAGGTGTTATAAGTATAAATATCAAACTTTAGATGTTAGATATGTAAAAACAAAAGAAGTTTGTAGTATGTATGTAAATCTCCCAAATTTAAATGTTTAACGAACATCTATGTAATAAACTCAAAACACTCGCATTTAAATTGCTCAAACGAGCCACCCAACCTTTTTTTCACCAAAGTGGAAAGCAACGTCAATTTTCTTATCATCAAAAGCAAGCTCAGAATAGAGGACCTCAGTGATCAGCAGATTATAATTGAAAGTGAAATGCAACGTCAATGATCTTTATCACCAAAAGCAAGCTCAGTATAGAGGACCTCGGTGATCAGAAAATTGTATTGGAAATTACATAGTCTTAAAATAAATCCTCATAAGTGTGACTTTGGATATCTCAAAAAAGAATTTCACGTTAGTCATACGCCGACAGGAAATCAAAATATAGCGCAATAAATTTCAAGTCATCATTGAGATGCTCTTACCGAGAAGCCCTCACCAGCTTCATGCAGTACAAAGACAGCTTGCTTACTTTTGATGATTAATAATCAAATAAGCATGCTCAAGCAAATAAAATAACTAAATAATTTGTACTTGAAACAAATTTGAACATACCTCAGTCTTCATATCAATCCCGTATATGCAGAATATGTTCTTTAGTGGAGGCCTATCCCAAGGTGTCAGGGGATTTAACACTGGATCGCCTTGGTAATATCTGTAATTTAGACAATACGTACATTTCTCTTAGCAATATTCCATGAGCAGAAGAATGTAAGATATTCATTTTAAGGTTTTAAAATGGGCATCCAACAAATAACAAAGCCAATAGCCACAGTATGCTAACAATGCTGATTGGTGGAAGCAACTGGCATGCTGAAGCAAATTTATTTTCAGTGCGATAAAATAGATAATACGGAATGAGATATAATTTTGTAATCATATAATCTCAAAGAAACTGGGAGAAAGTAGTTTTACATTTATATCAACGTCATTTCTTAGTAATATATGTTAAAGATAACATAAAACCATAATGCAATGGAAAACTCCTGGCAGTTGAGTAGATTATTGTTGTCTAGGATGAGTTTTCATGGGACCAAAAGAAAGATCAATGTGCCAAGCATAAAATATTGGCTTTCTCAGCAACCAATCACAGCTATAGTGTATCACATATAATGAAGAACCTCGTGCAACATTTTTTCAGTTCGATGTATATCTCTAGCACATTTACTTCCATGAAAGGTACTCAAAAGCAATCACCTTGTGCACACAGAACAATATGCAGATCAGCAACGGCTCCCAAGCTTGCAACATAGATACTGAAAAGCATTGACGCCTTTCTTCTATATTCTAATCAAACAAAATAATGAATCATTGAAACATGGGGAGAAATAATTTGACAAATCTTTCTCCAGAGAAACTCACATAAATACCTATATATATATATATAAGATTGATAAATATGATGATTTCAAAGATGAACTTTCTTGGAAGTAAGCGGGAGGTGTCTTGCTAATATAAGATTGATAAATATAGTTCTCTAGGGAAATGTGTATGTTTTATGAATCTATTACTATTATTCTACAATTCTTGCTATAGCCAGATGTTAAAAAGATCATTTTTGATTCTGTCAAAAGGTGGTTGTGCAAGAAGTATTCAAATTACTAATAAACCAAAGTGGAATGATCCAATATTATGAGCTAAATTGACTAAAGGTATGAAGCAAAATTTCTACTTAGAACCTTTATGCCTTCTTGACCTTTGTATATATCCGTAAGAAGAATTGAGCGGATAAAGCGAACATGACAGCAATCAAATGCAACGTCATGTGAATCAAGTCAAAATGCTTTGATAAGCATCGATAGGATCCAAATGTCTCTCATCCATGAAACAAAAAGTTGATGTGTTCAGATAGTTTACATTATCCAAAAAGAAATCCTATATGACCAAGCATGATGAAAATGACAAATTATCGGTGTAAAGAGCACGATTTGACCCCAAATCAACTCGACATTCGTTAAAATTGTTCAAAGAATCTTCATTAACAATGCAGACTGCACGAGCGTGTTCGGAATATCAAAATTTACCAAAAATGATTTTTTTTTCCTGGGATATGCATACGAACTAATAATGTGTATTTTGAGTGAAGCACATAAGTTCAGGCAGCCCACAAAAAGAAGCACGCTATAAACAAAGATACACAAGCAAAAATTAATACACAAACTCCGTGTGTATATATATATATATATATATAATTATAGATGTCAACCCATAACAATTTGATGGAGCTCACGCTCTACTAGAGTTTCTCCATGGCGATCCCTGGTTATTACACCACTGCATCTCTTCGTCGATCAAGCTCTGCTAGTCGTTCGCCAATTTCGTCACTTCCGTCTGATTCGTCGTTGTCGCCGTTGTCGACGTGTGTCATCTGCTTCGTCGCTCGTCTCGTCTATTGCTCGTGTTGCTGCGTCGGGCTCAGGCGTCGAGCTCAGTATCCTGCTTGTGCGGCCACGCCTTCCAGTCGTCGCCTCTCGTCTGCTGCTCGTGTGGCTGGTCGGGCTCAGTCGTCAAGCTCGGCATCCCTTCGTTGCCTGTTGCTCGTGCGGCCGCGCCTTCCAGTCGTCACCTCTCGTCCTCGGGCTCGAGCTAAATTTGAAGGGGCTTCGGGTTTCCACTCCTGCTCCTTGGTCTGGATTCAAAGTTTGCTCTCTGCTTTGCTTTCTTCACAATTCTTAACGACACACCTCCATCTATTGAGGATGGCTTCAGACAGATTGTATGTTGATGCACTTGCAGGTGTCCACGCCTCAGGTACACCTAAATTGTGTTATTTCCCTCATTCGTTTAGGTGGATGGAGAACATCAAAAAATCAGGTAAGAAGAATGTGAAGTCTGCCATCTTTTTTATAGAAGCTGAACGTATTCAACTTGTTTCCTTTTGTCGACTGAATTTGGTCGGGGAATTTTTGTACGCTCATCCCAAAATGGAGCTGATTCGTAAGGAATATGAGCTTATGCACCTTGTTGGGGAGTGAAAATTTGGACTGTTAGATGGAAGACACATTCTTATACAATTAAACAATGAAAAGTATTACACGCGCTTGTTTGCTAGAAGGATAATCTGGATTGATAACAGAGCAATGAAGATTCTGAAATTGTCTGTAAATTTTGACCCACAAACGGAACCACCAATGATTCTAGTTTGTATTCGCCTCCCTGGTTTGAAATTTCATTATTTTAATCAAAAAAATGTTGTACTTTATTGCCTCGGTTTATGGTAAGTCACTTAAAACGGATATTTCTACTTTTAATATTTCTCGTCCATCTGAGCCAGAATACTTGTTGAAAGAGACGTCACTTCATCCGCTTATAAGAAAAATTGATTGAGCACACAGCATCATGGATATTGGCAAAAGGTAGTGATTGAGCATTTTCATTCATATTATTCGAACTGTCGTATGTTCGACCACTTCAGTTTTCAATGCCACCATCTACACCTCCAACTCAGACCAAAAAATGCACAGTGCTCCGCCAGAGACGGTGATTTCTTCTCCTCCTGATCAGCTCCAAGTTATTGACCCTATTGATCATCAAAGAAATACCCCTGTAGACATCACTATTATCGCAGGAAATATGACAATCATTCAATCCCCAGTTGTAGCCCCCCCATTTTTGGAACCACCTATAGTGGGTGAGAGGGAGATTCTTCATACCCACCTGCCCTAGAACCTATCATCGATATTACAGGTGGCAATACTACTACTACTTCACTACCGCCTTATCAGGTCGAGCAAGTTGTTAATGTTACTCAGGCTCATGGGGATCATGATGTACAACAGCCTACACCTGTCTGGCCAACTGTGGAATCTACTGATCGGATGAGTCAATCATCGGATGAGGAATGGCAGACATACACATCCAGGAGGAAGAAGAAGAATGGAGACCTACTTGAGCTCAGAAATATGATGGATGATACTTCGGTTACTTCGGGCAATGATACTCATGTTACCAATTTATTAGTCGGCTTACTTTCGAAAAATAGAGGCAGAGGGAGGACTAAAGCGAGACATCCCTAGCACTTTTGCGCCCTTTGGTGGCTTTTTGGTTTTTTACTTTTATGTATCATTTTTTTTGTTTGGGATCAGTGTGTTGTTTTGTGTGAGTTGGGCTTTCTTTTAGGCACTCAGGCCCTCTTATACAATCTTTCTGTATATTTTCTGCTTTAATATATTAGCCCTTAGCTTTTTCAAAAAAAAAATATAATTATAATTATAAATATTATTATTATAAAACATAATAATAAAATAAAATTTCCCTCTCATCTTATCGCTACAAAATTCATCCATCTCATTGTTATCCCCCATGCCAAGCGCCATCCTGCCTCTTACGTATCCAATAATTAAAATAATAATAATAATAATTAAAACCTAAGCAAAAACCACAACTCCTCTCAAAAATAAAAACAAACCAAATAGACCGTACATATTCTCCCTTACCATCTCCCTCCTAGCACTAATTGCTCGCTCTCTCTGTCTCAATAAGTCGAACTCGCATAGAAACTCCTCCATGAATACTCTCTGGATCTCGGTTTTTTCCTGCTCACCAAACCCACAAGTTTTACCCCCTTTCTCTCTGTTTCACACAAAGGCTAAACTCGGCCCGGCACTCTCCCATCATATCGCGCTACAACAATCCCTCTAACTTTGATTGTTTCATGTGAAGCTTCACTCGTTTGTTTCGATTCTTGCAAACCTCATGTCCACTTTTCTTCCACTGCTCTACCCAAAACCCTTCATCCCTGCTCCTCTCACCAATCCAAGCCGCACGTCCTGCCATCCCCAACAACCCACACTCATTTAACCCATAAGCAGTTCCTCTTATTTTTGCCTCACGAGCACGCAGTAGCAGGCCCATCTCCCTATTATTAAGTTGAAACTCTTTTAATTTCCCCCGCATGTTGCCCTCATCTACCTCGTCTCCATGTTCACACAGAACACATAATGCCTCCAACTACTCTCCGGTGTATAATGAATTCTTCCCATGGCAGCTCACCCCCACTAGAGCTCTTACTCACTTTCTCTCAATCGCCACCAAACACCCTAGTGCTCGCACAGCTCACTATCCTCATCTCAAACCCTAACAAACTCCTCTACCCCTCCTTCCCAAGATGATCTTACTTGGGACCCTCATTCCTACAACCCTCAAGTTGTACGAAAACTCCCTCTCAACCAGATCACCTCCCAACCATGACTCTCTCAATGTCAATTCAAACACAGTGAACTCACGAACAGCCCTCCTCTTTCTCTCTCTACCAACCATCTCTTTCTCTCAAAAAGAAACCAAAATTAACCAAAAAAAGGAGATTATGTGCTCTCACAAATCGTATTACTCCCTCATTATCATCGACCTTTGGGAATGTATAAAATCATGCAACTCTAAACCACTAAAGTCCTGCTTGTGACACATTTAGTGTGACAAGCGGAATTCGCGCATGTTTTTTTTAACATTGTGATGGAAACTTGTAAGCGGCACGCATAGCGCAGCAGGCAATCCCTATGTGGAATATTCTTATCGCAAAGTGGAAAAAAAATATACTACAAAAACATGATTGTTAGTGCCCCATGCATGACTTTCTTGATATAGCGGGTTTCAAAGACTATAGTTGTAATATCTTACAACACCGACCAGAAATTTCTTTCTTAGTGCAGCGGGAAAGTCTAGACTCTTTATGCAACCCCCATACAAGAGAATGACATCTAAAGACCAACAAAATTCTATTAAGAACACCACTAAAAACAGGATAAGACCTTGAAAGTTAGATCATCTTAAAATGAACCAATCGAATGCAAATTTACAAATAAAATAAGAGCAAAATTAAAAATTGTCTTATAAATTACATATAAGAGAACAAAATTGAATATAAAATTGAACCTAAAACAAATTTACAGAAACATAAAAAATTGATTTGCAAAAGATAAGCAGAACCTCTGACACCAAACTAAAGCAACCCGATGGTGTGGGAATGTTAAGAGATGGGTTAGGACAGTAGTAGGATGAGGAACGGAAGTATAAATGGTGACGGTTGTTGAAGAACCGGAATAAACAGTTGTTGGACAGAAAAATAAATGTTGGAACAGAGATCAACAGCACATCGACTAGCATAGGAGGTTGTTGGACGAACACGAAATATCACCACTTTGGTCCAACCAAGTTGCAAGCACACCAATTAAAAGATATCAAACGATACAACATTTCAATAGAAAAAATTAGAGATAAATAGCCTCTAATACATAAACCAAAACCAAAAAGGTGTAAAGAAGTTCAGAGCATAATTAAATGTTACAAACAGAATAAACCATAATTAATTATCCTAAACACGTAAAATAAGACCCCCAAGAGGGTAGCCCAGCCTAAAAAGGCTATGGAATGCTGAACCCATCTAGAAAGTAAATCAATATTCCAAGATTAAAGAGCTCACTTAGAGGATGCACTACACATTCTACGAAACAAGGTTGAAATTTGTATAATTGGTTATTTAGGTGTTTTCCGTTCTTAAGGTAAGGCATAAGCCTAGAGATAGTTTCAGACAAAAGCCACACAATTTGAAAATTCCATTGTTGCAATAAATGGTAAGAAAATATAAACTAGCATCAAAACATATAACTATATAGAAGGAAGACATTAATGTCCTAACAAATTAAAAGGTGAAAATTTGTGATTAAATGAAATTGTAACTTTCACAAAGCAAAAAAAAATCTAGGCCCCCAACAAATCAAACTTTAAAAAAAAAACTAACACAAAGTATTAAAGTAAAACATAAAATGACTTTAGCATAAATGATTTCTCTTCTATTGTCTAATAAAATAACATTCATAGATCTAAATAAGAAAATATAAAATAATCAAAAGTTCACAGCACTCTAATCATTCAAAGGGTCGTCATTGGAGTCATCATCATAATATATAGTTTTCTCCTGTGTCTCTTCTTTAATTATGTCTAAATTCTTCTTATTCTTCTTCTTCAACCTCAGTCATATTTCTTTTTGCTATTTAGTAATAAAGGATTATAAATTAAATATTAAAAATTAATATTTAAGACAACACAAAATACTTAAATTTTTATAAGCACGCTTTTTTAAATCTATTTTTTCCAATATTAGATGTGTTGCCCTTGTTTTTTTAGCCATCATAAGATAAACATTCAGATCTTCTTGTTACAACTCAGATGGATGACCATATTATTCTCATTTATAAATTACTCATCATTTAATAAAGTATCTCTACATAGTAAAAGATTCTAGTCATTTTCAAATCTCTTTTCTTCAAACTTCTATCATTCAATCTCTTACTGTATATGATGTATATTAAGGAATTCATCCTTAAGCTCGTTAGACGATTTCTAAATGTGCTTCAAATCTGCTCGCATTCAAATGACAAGCGTGTAAGTCATAATATCTTAATAGCAAAACATTGTAGCTCTAGAGTAGCATCATCAAACTAGGTCCACAATTCAACTATATTCTAAAGAAAATTGTATAATTAGAAAATAGAAATTAGAAATTTAGTGTTTAGATACTTAATATTCATTTCAAAGAACAAATTACATATTAAAATTTTACTTGAAGTACATTTTGTAATAATATATTTTGCTTGCTGTAGCTCAAAAAATCTTCTTCATTCCTAAATGGGCTATCAAATACCCTCCAATCTTTTCTATCACTCTATCAAACAATCCAAAAATACACTTTGCATCCTTCATCAAATGAGATGCTTCTATAAATTCAAAAATGCAATGCCATATCGATTGGTTATCAGAATATTAATCAGGCTCTATTTTTTATAATTGATCACCCATCATAGATGATTATTATTCTATGACAAATCCTCTTTAGTATATTTTATAATTTTCTTTGTATTACTCAACTCCTCCTTCAACGCCCGTTTCATCAAATCATACATAAATGGGTGTTTCAAGCATTGACCATAAACACCAACGAAAAGTATTATATTAAAATATGAAAGGGAGGTTGTCACATTGAATGGAATAACATTCTCATAAAAAAAACCTCTCAATATCAATGCAAACAATTTTGCATCTCTCTAGCATGCTATGGAGCCATCTTTTAAGCTGCAGTTGTCCCCTCTGCATAACCCCTATTATCCGCCACATTTAACACATACTGATTTAAAGGACCACTTGTAGCTCTAATAAACATTGGTTGCATAGATGATGAGGAATCCTTGGCTGCGCTCATTCCTTTGTAAGAGCTAACACCAAATATATCATCAAACTGTCATTTCACAAGACGATTTAACATCGTTGACTTTTTCATATATGATTGCATTCGCATCTTTCACTGCTTTTGACAATTTAACACATGATGCAATATGTTTATGCGAGCAAGAGATGTTCTTTCACCCTTGTAATACCTGTTTCAATAATTTTCTCGTAGTAATTTTTTATTTCAAATAAAAATGACTTATCGTTGCCCACAATACCAACTTGCACACTGCGTCTCCAGGTCGGATGTTTTCACTGTGTCTCCTTGCCTCTAACCTTTCCTCATAAGATCTAAAAACCTTATAATGAAATTTTTGTTTCAAAATTCAAGCAAATTAGAACTCATGCAATTTTTCAAAAAAAAAAAATTAATATATATAGGATTTAGAGTTATAAAAATAGACTTTAAAACTATGTAAAACTTGAAAAGGATTATTTGATCAGGGGATGGGGTGCCAACAATGGTTGTGGCAGCATAAGATGGTAGCAAAGGTCTCATGAGCAATAGGAAGAGCAAATAACAGTGGTGCTGGGAGCAGCATATAACTTTTAAACGTCTCTTTGATAAATGTGTTTAGTAATTTAATACTTCATTTGAAAATGTTGTGTGAGCTTAACTCAAAAATTACTTTAAAAATAGCCTACTTCAAACAATATACACTAGTAGACTTAAAAGACACGCATGTGCTCAGCCATTACATTTAAACCTAAAAGTATGATCTGAAAATACTACATAGGTGTTCAAAATGGATTTGCCTCATAAAACGTGTAATTATCTTAAATTTTACAAAATTTCTCTTTCAGAATTCAAATTCAAAATCGTAGTCTTTTCCTCTCTCAAGTGGTTCGTCTTACCTGTAAGGTAAAGTCTTAAATCCTACTTTAGTCAGTCCAATTATCCTCTTTATACGAACCAAAGTTAACAAAACTAAGCTTGTACTAAGCAAGTTCAATCCTCCTTCCATCAAGACAAGAGTCAGCAGAACAAGTCCTTTTAATGACATTTTAGATAATTAACATAAGTACTTAAAATGTTCTTCAATCAATATCTTGATGATGGCCATATTTATCACATATTTTAACCAGACATGTCTATACATAAAATCAAACTTTCAAATCATAAAAATCTTTAAAATAATATTATAATTAAATCAATCACCAAATCTTAAATCAAAAATCATTCACTATTCGTAACTATTTGTCAAGAGTGACTAATTTATAACTAATCTAAGCTCATATGGAGTCAATGTCATAATAAGTATACTAATATATTCGTATTTAAAATAATTTGCACAAATAAGAATGTGACTCGAGTCATCTATCCTCATAATTTGGCTAGTAAACTCCACGGATATGCCAATTATAATCACAGCCCTATGACCGGGTGGTTTGGCACAGCAGCCCCACTATATTACTATCATATGTTTCTCAATGACTTTAAGTTCTTTTGAACTGTGAATCATATGGTATGCATAATAGAATAGAAAGCTCTTTGTTAGCTAAGGTACTTAAATCTATCATATTAGAAAAACATCTATCCCAGATCTAAAAGGTCAATATGAAAGAAATAACACTTGGTTGATGACAAGGATCTTTCCGTCAAACTAGTAAAGCATGAACCATGGCAACCCGATATGACGGAACAAGGGATTATGATCAGGTTTGTCATCATGCCGGCCATATTTCAATTAGTGACAGTTACATGCAATTAGCTCGAAAAAACATTAACTCACTTCCTGAGATGATGCAAGAGTCTTTCACTGTCTTGGTCAAAATCTTCTATTGCTTTGAAGAAGGTGCCATCAGAAACTTCCCTGGCAGAAAAGGCTAGCTGAATGGGCCGTCCACATTCCATGTTGGGAGTCAAATCCTGGGAAACTTCAGGCATTGATGGATAGACATCACTGCCTGAAACACAAAACTAGTAAGACTAACAGTAGAAATCATTCTATTGCTTTCTAAAATAAACTGAGAATTTTATAGAAGAAAACCTCTAACAGAAGGAATCTCAATGTTTATAACATCAGTAGGCCAACCAGAGTAGTTCGATCGAAATTCAACATCATCGCATTGATTTGTGCGCCAATGATCCCCATTTCCATCAAAGAAATGCTTCCAATATACATTATCCGCTTTGCAGTACTTTGAAAATGGCATCAACCATAAGGAAGAACCAAAGGAATTGTACAACATCCTGGCAGTTCCCTGGTGATTTATGTACATGAACATTCATAAGAAAGACTGATAAAATATCCATTTAAGAACATGTAAGACTGGCTCAAACTTTGATAAGTGTTGTCTATTAACATTTGTTATACCAAAGAACACAGATTACAGAACATGGATGGCATTTTCACCAGCAATTATGAGCCCCTAGAATATAAAGACATGCTGGATTGCTTCTTAACAACAAATAAAAAAGGCAACAAGCCCAAAAAATATGTTGTATATACATCATCATAAAAGCCAGTAGACTCCCAATGACCTCTCCAACTCTATAAAACAGGAAGACTACTCATTTCTATTGAAAGCTGCATACAGTACTAATTCTAGTGAAGGTCTAACGTAGTATGATAAAGACGAACTTGTCTAAATCATTAAAGAATTACACGATATATGAAGTTTAACGCAACAAACTATATCGTCCATAAGTGAAGCAAGGTAAATGAAAAAAAAGAGCGACCTGGTGAAGAAAATCCAAGCACACACTGCATAATATAAATGAAGGTGAAAGACAAAAGTTACAAATAGAACAGCAATGTAGGAGTCAATGCACAAAAGCAATAGCAGAATCTGTCAATCACTTTTTCTAGTTCTGATGAGAAATAGAAAGTAAATGAAAATATGAAATTCAGTAGGACACAATGAAAGCCGACCCCACTTATTAGTGGGATATAGGCTTGTTGTTGTTGTTGTTGTTGTGGATGAGAAATAGAAAGCTATTCTAAAGCCCGTGCCAAAAGGTAAACATCGATTGGGAAGAAATATACAAACAAATATTCAAGCAAATAATAAAAGGAATATAGACCAAATCCATTCTACATAAGAGAACATGGCAAGCTATTTGTTTTGAAAAGGACTTTCTAATGCAACATATACAAACATGCAAGCCCACAGAATGTGGACGATATAGGTACAGAAATAACAACAATAACCACCACACACATTCACAATGACCACATAAATGTTTGGGTCAAACTTCAACCAAATTCATAATAACGATTTAAATCCATAATGATTCCAATTAGAAATTCTACCATCTGTGATATGAGAAACTAACTTGCAACCAAGAGATACATAAAGTAAAGATAAAAGAAGCAACTAAAAGATTTTAAGAATATCAAATAAAGTAAAAGCACTCAAGCACCAAAAAATGCATAGAGACCAAGATAGACCTCAGCAATTGGAAGGCCAAATGTGAATCCAGATAAAGTAGCTCTTACTGTTTCTGTAGCACCAAGAAGAGGTGCGCCTGAAATTTATTAATAAAAAGTCTAAGCAAAGACAGCTGCAGAGTTAATATTATTTTAAAAGATCTGCAAGAATGAATAAAGCGCACCAACTGCAAAATATGCATATATGTGCTCGTCAAGCCACTGGATGTAATGCTTTGGTGCAATTTCTAGTTTCAACCACTCCAGGAAGTAGCGAAAAACATTATTGCCAAGTGAATGCGCAAAAACCAAAGAGGGGCCCCCACGAAGTTTTAAAGCTGTTTCAAATGTCAACCTGCAAATATAAAGAGAAGGTGAATAGATAAGGATACAACTAAATGGAAAAAGGACAATGGGAGGATGAATGGAAAGAATATGCTGCTAAGGTTACAAAGTTTAACTGAAGCGCCAGATTCCAGCAATGATAATAAGGACTTACACTCGGTGTAATGTCATTAAGAAAACCTAGAATGCTCTCAATGGGGAATAATAATATGTAAATATTAATAAAGCCAGGGATGCCCGTAAAGTTTGCAAGGCAAAGCAACCATTCGGTGATGAGATTTCAATCCTTGTAATGAAACTATATAATTTTCACGTATGCAACCATTAAAATCAGCAAAATATCATCAGAAATTATAACCATGGTTCAGGACAATGATGTATCTCATAAAATGATAAGAAATTTCCTTATTCCACTAGTGAATAATTATGAGCCTATTTCAGCTGGGAATGAGTAAAATCAAGATGGAAAAATAAAATTTATGATTGTGTGGGCTGAACTTACTTGGACCAATCTTGCTTCATTTCAGCATGTTCATGTATTCTCATGGTTTTCTACCTTTAAGAAGTTATTAAAAACGTGTTTTACCCACTAATTTTTTTATGCTAAGCTATAGCATCTCATTAGTCTTGCACCCACCGATCTTGCTTGGCCATCTTAATTTTCATGCTGGATGATTTTAATCAGTCTTTCTTCATGCTTTTCATGTGTCGCTTTTATCAATTGATTTGCCGCATGATTCACATTGCATGATATATTTCACTAATTTTGGCATAAATTGATTCCATGCACGATGATTTCATATTCTCCATTAAAGCATTAGTGTGCGCACATTTTCTAGCATTTTCTAGCATTCAGTTGTAACATGATCCCAATACATACTAACATATATTATTTCCAAGCAGTGCTTATGCAAGTCTCGGTTGTGATTTTGCGAACTTCCATGACCAGAAGTGATGTCCATTGCTTACTTAGCATGCACTTGAACTCGCATATTCCTCAATACGATCGGTCACAACTCTGATGTATCACAAAGTACACAAGCCTTGCTTTAGTTTTATCCCAATATATTAGTGAGGTAGGAGCACCTAAGGTGCTTTAGATCACCTCATTTGATAAGTGAACCACTCACACATGGAATCATTTGATCTTAAGTTGACAATCCCCATTGTTACATAAAAGATTTGGGTTGTATGTTCTCTCATCAAATAATCCAAAATGTTTTTAATGAATAACCATAGGATTGGTCGAATCCCATTACCAATGATCAAACCACCCCGTGTTATTGGACTTAATCTATTTATTCACCTAAACAGTTGTCTGTAAGATGATGCCATGGGGTCATGTCCACTCGGCACCTGACTTGACCTGAGCTAGCCTTGGCCAAGCAATATAGTATCTATATTGTGTTTAATTACAATTTAGGCACTATATCCCCCTGGCTAACATAAAGTTAGAGTATACCATCATATATCAATATCTACTGATTGGGCCATTAGCAAGCAATATAGGTCATCAATGTGGTCACCAACATGATACTGACATTCATCATGCATATATGATTATGACACAGGAGTGTCAGTACTAGTGTTGTTCACATTTGTTTGCAACTCAAATTTTATCTTTTAGTTCTCTGTTTTTATGTGTTTTCTACTTGCATGGCAAACTGATAAAAAGGGAGTCTTAGTGCTTTATAAAGTGGCAATTTTGTGAACAGGGGTAGATTTTTGGGTTTTAGAATTGTGAATTTCTTTCTTTTGGGAAGGCTAGGCTACCCGTTTATCTTCCTTGCATTGTATGATGAGTTGAATCTCAGATGGTGTTTTTGCCAATAAATTTCTTACTGTTTCCTTTCTGAATTTTTGTTCTTCCCCAACTGATATACTGCTAGTATCATTTTGGTATCAGAGCTTTGGCTTCTTAATCCCAATTCTTGCCAAAAATCTCTAGCTACTCGGAGGGCTAACCTCTGTCAAAGAATCTCCAGGCAAGATTCCAGCCATCAATGCATGGTTTGCGGAAAGCATTCATGCTTTATGTGCCTTTTACTTTCGTTTTTTTCTTTCATTGTTGTTTCTCTTGGTTGTTCTTGCGCGTCTGTTCCTTCAGGGGCTGCTCCCATCCCAGGAATCCAGATTTTTGGATTCTTCAACGTGTTGTTCAAGCGTGGGTTTCTATGAATTCTAGAATTTCAAATTTCTGCCTCTGCATAGTCGTTTCATTTCTTCTTCTTGTGGATACTAGTTCGAATTGGTATCCCAGTAAATTCCAACACAGGTTTCCTTACTGATTTTCTATTATTCCCCAATCAACATACCAACAATATCAGATTAGCTCACATAAATTATGCAAAATGAATGACCATATGGTGAACAAACTAATGGACATAGGTAACTCACAACATAAGTAATCTCAATGATCATGCTAATATTGTTACCTTTAACTAGGCAAACCTCAGGGTTTAACAGCATGCAAATAAGACTACTTTAAATTATCAATGCAAAATACAAATACCAAGAAACAGCAGTACATTGCCTCTAGACTGAAATCTTAATCATGCATGGCCAAATTTTCTAAACTTCGATCATAGCATCCTACCATTATTTTAATTGTACAGTCAAATTCATACATCTCATGCATTAGCCGTTTGAACGCTATTTGAAAATTTAATAATGACATCTAGATAAGCCAAATTAGTTTGGTCTATCACAACAATGTACTTGATAACCTAAGCCAAATCTAGTCATTCAAATCTCATCTGAATAAGACAAAATCCTTCAGGTATTGCATCACATGTTTTCCAAGTGATTCCACTAGGTTAACCACTTAGATTTGCATAGAATTCAAAAGAGACAAATTCAGTTAAATGTTAAGCCAATCACTTGTAACATCACATTATCATCATAAAAGTTTAAAGCAAAATCCATAGAAACATTGTATTAAATATCCATATTTTATTTAGGTATTTAATCCTATAAGCAAAGAAAGCCAGAATCATTTGAATTTTCAAAATTATAGTTGATAATACATGCCATATTTAAACAATCAAATTTCTTGCCTGAATGAGCCAAATCCATTTAAATGTCATATCACATGCCACTTAAGTGGTTAATCCATATAAAATCATTTTGATGTGCTTAGCATCCAAGTGACCCAAGTAGTGAGCCAAATTGGGTGTTGAGTCTATATCAAATCCATTACAATCTGAGCATGCCAAATCTTCTTAGGTGACTTTTGCGAACGTTCAAGGCTAACTTAATTTGTCTAGGATTTTCTCATAATTAGATGAGCCAATCTCACATGGTCATTTCAATTCTCTTCTTTAAATAAGCCAAATCTACTTATGTATATTTTAGATGTCGAGGTCGTTCTAGTATCTTGATGTTACATATTGTTTAAGTGGGCTAATATTCACTCAAGCAAGCATATCATCTCAAATGTCTAAAAAATATTTAAAATTTTGAAAAAGCTGACTATCTAAATAAAATTACATTTATTTAGGTATCCCAGTCATATCATACTCATATAGAGCTTTAGGCAAGGCGTGCTTACACTTCAGTTTAGATAATGTTAACATAAAATAATGATAGGCTGAGAACCACAATCAAAGATTGTTCATTGTATGATGATAATCATTATATGGTAACTAGATCTTATATAATCATTGTAAAAATAACGTAATTAATTTATACCATATCTAAGATCAATATTTTTCAAAATATTAATTTCTTTAGAAGAAGCTTTTATTAAAAATATGTGCTGTAACTTTTCAAACATAATTTCAAAATAATTAAACAACTTTAAAAAACAATATTCTTTAAATTTACAATAAACTTGTTACAGTTAACAAAACTTAATTTAATTGAAAATTAAGGTACTTTTAAACTTTGAGCTCTTATTTTAAATTATATGAGAAGAGGCTTATGATTACACAAAACTTGCACACTAGATGTTATCACAGGTATTGCCATAGATATTGCAAGTATAGCGTAGGATGTAGTTCAGTTTGTTTTGCTATGCTTGTTATGATGTGTTGTACTAATATGTTTGGATTCATGCTGTGTACTTGTAGATATGCACATTATGAAAAAAATATAGGTTTAAAGTAGCTGCTAAAATAGCCAAAAAAAAAAATGATAATAAAAGCATATTGATATGGCTACATAAATTCAAACGAAATTTATATAAGATCATTGGTTGTGCATTTTTATTGTTTACGTATTTGTTAGTCAGGAAAGCTAGTTAAGCAAATAGAATTTATAAGAGCAAGTTTCATTAAAAATCCCATCAGCATGAACCAAGATGGTAAGGATCAAGAGCAGCAAGAAGCTAGTAGGACGTGCCTTGTATTTATTCTCTTTTGGTACATTTAGTACTTATGAATAGATAAGAATTGGGTTATATTATGCAGAGCCTGGATTCTTGATATTTTAGTTTCCTACTGTGAACTGTAGAAACCAACAGCGCCAGAATTTTACTATATTTTGTTCATTTAAGATGAATGCTTAGTGGTACAACGAATTATTTCTCGTTTGTTAATGAAGTATGTTTGTTGAAACTCAACAATATCATCACGCTCCAAAGAAAATGTTACATTTTTGTGCAAAATTTAATCAAAATATTTAAATAACTTTGAAATCAATCTAGGGTAAAACTTTTCCGAACAAACTTTAGTGCATGATACTTGGACATATTTTTAAAATAAAAAGAAAATGATCTACTTGGATTTATATGGATATGTAGGTCACAAGGGAGAATCAATCATTAACAAAATCTTATTAGATTCACTAATCCTATCATGGCCTAATCACTCAAACAAATTAGTAAGTTTTCACACCATGAATAGACAGCAGTGCATCATTCATATCTCACGGAGTACACTTGCTCAATTAAAATCAAGTTGAATGTGTGTTAGAGGAAGAAATCATGATCGAGATAAAATTGTAAAGTTAATTTTGATATTTAAACTTCAATAGTTAAAGCATCTCTGACCACACTTTTCATAGGCATTT